GCATCGTTCCCGGGGAGGTTTTCGGGGGAAAGGGTTCGGGGGATGGGAGCTTGGGTTTGGTTGGGTTTGTGTTCTTCCCCGGGAAGGGGGAGGACCCCCCCCCCGCAAATCCCCCTGTTGGTAAATTGGGGGGGGGGGGGGGCAACGCCCCCTTGGGCCGGGTTGGGGGGACCCCTTTCCGGGGGGCGGCCCGGCCCGGGCTTGGCCCCGGTGCCTTGGGGTTTGGGTGGTGGGGCGTTCGTTGGGGCCTTTTTTTTGGTGGCCCGGGGGGGGGGGGGAGGGGTGGGGGGGGGGGGGGGGGGGCGCAAGGAGGTCGCTAGCGATATGTGCGTGATACGCTCGACAAAACAGCAGCGAGGGTGGGGTGACTAAGTGCGTGTTCAAGGTTGCGTTTCGATTCCGGTGAACAGGACCAAGGCTATGTAGAAAACGTGGGTAAACTTGGCAGATGAAGAGCTCGGTTCTGTAAGACGAGAACACGTGCTCATGCGGTGCACCCATCTGCCAAGTAGATTTACCTCTTCGCACCCTTCAAGTTGCACCCTCTCCTTGACACCAACCCTTTCACTGCCGGTGTGGTGTTGGTAGCAAGTCGGAAACAGAGTACCTGCTGGAACAGAGTGATGAGACAGGTGGATACACGGCTTCCTCCAACACGAGCAGAGCATCTCGAACTCTAGGGCCCAGTTCCACCCAATTTTCGATTCCCACACGATCAGCGCCACGAGCACCAGGCGGAGGCGAGACTATGATGACATCAAACCTGCTGACTACCAGGCTAGTTCCTGTCGGCTCACGTTATGACCGGATATGTTCGATACGTTGTCCGGTCATGGCCCGTACGGCGTGGGCATCCGAACGTCACAGCCGAAAGGTCGAACGGTGTCATCGCTTCGCCTCCGGCTTCAACATTGGAAGCTTGTCCGCTACTACGGCCGCCAGCTGTAACAAATCGAACATGCTGCGGAACTGGGCCAAGCCGTTTCGAAGATAAAGTTCAACGTGTTGTAGGACACCGTGTATTGGCTGCACGCTGGTGGGCCGTCAAATATCACATTCCTCTAGCGGGTACTCTGGCACCGAAGTACCAAAACCTAAACCTCCAGTGAGAGCGCGGAAGTCACGAAGAAAATGCAGTAGGTCCAAGAACGGCTCGACCTGCTGTCAGAAGAGAGGGCGAGAGACAAGGGGCGAGGGGGGTCAGCACCTGCTGCCCTCATCGGCTCATGGCCGTTTACATTCTAATGAGCGAGCCTACCTCGGCTGCCGAGACCCTGTTCTAGTCTGTCTACGCGTTGAAACGACCATGCCCGGTAGCATAGAGAGACGAGAGCCTCCCTCCCTCTGGCTAGACAGCATCTCATCTCTACACCCCGGTGGGTTTGGTTTCTTACCGCCCGCCCTTTGGGAAACAAAGGCGCGGGGAAAGCGTAACTGTGTGCGAGCAGGAGCGGTACAGAGAGTCGGTTGGCTGCCGAGAGAGTCCTCTCGACATCTGCCGATCCATCTACAGTCACATCACTCCAGTCTCAGTCTCTCGAATAAAACGATATAACACCCCTCGCCTTTGGTTGGGTTGCCTTGTTGCCTTGTTGCCGTCCTCTTCTTGGAAGTCTTGCTCTTCTTGGAAGTGAAGGCTTGGCCACGAAAGATGACACGGTGGTACAAGAAGAACGGCTCGACCTGCTGTCAGAAGAGAGGGCGAGAGACAAGGGGCGAGGGGGGTCAGCACCTGCTGCGCTCATCGGCTCATGGCCGTTTACATTCTAATGAGCGAGCCTACCTCGGCTGCCGAGACCCTGCTCTAGTCAGTCTACGCGTTGAAACGACCATGCCCGGTAGCATAGAGAGACGAGAGCCTCCCTCCCTCTGGCTAGACAGAGAAACGGCCGTACATCTCATCTCTACACCCCGGCGGGTTTGGTTTCTTACCGCCCGCCCTTTGGGAAACAAAGGCGCGGGGAAAGCGTAACTGTGTGCGAGCAGGAGCGGTACAGAGAGTCGGTTGGCTGCCGAGAGAGTCCTCTCGACATCTGCCGATCCATCTACAGTCACATCACTCCAGTCTCAGTCTCTCGAATAAAACGATATAACCCCCCTCGCCTTTGGTTGGGTTGCATTGTTGCCTTGTTGCCTTCCTCTTCTTGGAAGTCGTGCCCTTCTTGTTCCTATTGCTCTTCTGGGAAGTGAAGGCTTGGCTACGAAAGATGACACGGTGGTACAAGAAGAACGGCTCGACCTGCTGTCAGAAGAGAGGGCGATAGACAAGGGGCGAGGGGGGTCAGCACCTGCTGCGCTCATCGGCTCATGGCCGTTTACATTCTAATGAGCGAGCCTACCTCGGCTGCCGAGACCCTGCTCTAGTCAGTCTACGCGTTGAAACGACCATGCCCGGTAGCATAGAGAGACGAGAGCCTCCCTCCCTCTGGCTAGACAGAGAAACGGCCGTACATCTCATCTCTACACCCCGGCGGGTTTGGTTTCTTACCGCC